GCCAAGGTTGGACACCCCTGATCTAGATATTGGAAGTAGGGATGCCACAACAAAGCAGAACACATATATAAAGCAGCCCACAGTAATGTCACTAGAGGCCCATTCCCTTCCTTTACATAGTTGTCTCCAAGGTGCCTTTTTCAAGAGGCAACTGGACTTTCTGGTTTTTCTTTGAAGATATTTCGCTTCTCATCCAAGAAGCTTCTTCAGCTCTCTCTTTCTTGGATGAAAACTGAAATGCCTTCAAAGAAAAAACAGAAAGTCCAGTTGCCTCTTTAAAGAAGGACCTTTGGGACAACCATGGACTGGGACACCCGGATGACTGAGAATCTCCATAGACTTCCTTTACATACTTGATACATTGCTGCACGGCAGACCTTCCAGAGTGACATCAAGCATAACTTCACCTGTTATGAAAGCACATCCTATTCCTTGCTTGCTAGCAAAAAAAAAAAAAACCCAGGCTTTGGCTCAAAGTCAACTCAGCCAGCTTTCATGCCTAAGTTGGGATCAGAACTCACAGTTTACTAATGATTGGCCCAAACCCACCTCACAGGGTTGTTGTTGTGGGGAAAATAAGGGGGGGAAAAGTGTGTTGGATATGTTCATCTCCTTCAGTTATTTGTAAAAATAATGAAGCTGGGATACAAAGAAACAAATAAATAAATACACCCCCCAGTTGCTTTCATGCCTAAGGCAGGCCTAGAACTCACCATCTCCTGGGGATTGGCCCAAAATCCCCCAGCCAGCTTTCATATCTAAGACAGGACCAGAACTTACCAACCCCCAGTTTCTAGCCTGATGCCTCCACCATTACCCCATTATTAGCTCCCACCAGGTAACTGCACTCAAATAACCCACAACATATACCATTTTATCATCTCTTGTGTCTTTAGTAAATACCCCTTATCTTCGTTTCCTTGCCCTTCCCCTCTCTCGTTTTTCCTTGCTTGGGAAAAAAAAGGGTTTACTTAATTGTGTTTTAATGCATAGCAAAAAAAATAACAGGAACCTGCTGTTTTTCCCCAACCTGGGAGGGGGGGTTGGACTAGATGACCTACAAGGTCCTTTCCAACTCTGTTAAATCTGTTTCTCTCAAGCAAACTCCCTTTTACTCTCCCAGGCTTTCTCTGGCCTGGAGACTCCCTTACACTCCATCCTGGCACAAAGGGTGCCTTTTGCACCCTCTTTCAGGATGAGTCCACCGCCCCATAATGGGCGCCCAACTCTAGACCGAGCTCGTGGCTGGGCTGTCCCGTAAGTATTGGGTGTGTCTCCCAGGTTTCGGTCCGCAAGCCGGCAAAAGGACTTGGCCAGCCCCCGTAAAACCTTTTTCTCCTCCCAGGCATCCACGACCAAAAAAAAAAGCCCCTCCGATGCTGCGCGGTCCAGTCTCTCCTGCATCCGGGGTTGCCCCTGGCAACAGAACCTCAGCTCACCTCTACCAGAACCCAATCCAGCTCCTCGGCGGAAGCGACCGGTCTGCGTGGCAAAGGGAGGGCGGGGAGGATCCCGGATGTTTACTTTCCTAGCGCGCGCGAAGCCTACTGGGAAATAGAGTCTTTTGTGGCCGCCTACTGGCGAGCTCAGGCATTTGCCTCAATAGCGGACCGTAGGCGGTTTTTCGTTCTATTTCACTATGGTAGGGGTCTTCAACCTTGGCAACTTTAAGCCTAGAGGGCTTCAACTCGCAGAATTCCCCAGCTGGCTGGGGAATTCTGGGAGTTGAAGTCGTCTAGGCTTAAAGTTGCCAAGGTTGAGACCCCTGATCTATGCGATTATTTTTCCTTGCTTGGGAAAAAATAATGGTTTACTTATTGTGTTTAATGTAGGGGTCTTCGAACTTGACACGTTTAAGTCATGTTAGCTGAGGAATTCTGGGAGTTGAAGTCCACAAGTCTTAAACTTGTCAATTTTGAAGAAAACAATAGGAACCTGCTGTTTTTTCCCCCAACCTGTGGAGTGGGGGAAGTTGGACCCTTCCAACTCTGTTAATCTGTATCTATCTGCTCCTAGCTTGGAAGCTATGCTGACTCAGAGGATGGGTGGTGTAGTCTCAGACATCTGCAAATAATACTGACTGAGACTTGGCATTGCTACAGCAACTGTGAGCAATGATATTGCAGTTCCCTTCCCTTGGAGAACCACATGTTTTGGTTCCCAGGACTCCACTTCCTGTTTTGGATCCTGGTTAGATAGTTACTAGCTTTATTAGCTTTCAATCTTGAAGTCAGAATAAACACACGATGCATGCTAAAATGCTATAGAATGGTTCCCTTGGGTTGTTAATTATAATCCTTATTTTTATTATGGCTAGATTCATGCATGACTAATTCATTAAGTAAGTGTCTCAGTTCTGCATTTTGTTGTACAAATTCAGCCAATTGCAGTATGATTAGGAAAATGTTATCGTTATTTTACCAGTCAACAGATTAAACCTTCAGTTTTTCCTTCTGTCAAGAAAACCAGAACAAAAACCGGTTAGGCTTTGTGAGTCATAATTTCAGGAGGGGCATTTATAGAAGAAGAATTTGGTTAGTTTATAGCAGCGTTTCTAAGTTTTCAGCTTTAATGTATACAGACCAACTCGCAGAATTTCTCAGCCAGTCATACCGGGGAATACTGGAAAGTCCATACATCATCTTAAGTTGCTGAAATTGAGAAACACCGCTCTATACTAGAGCAACAAAAAATTGGAAGCAGTTTGATAGCTTATTTTTTTAGCAAATTTTATTAAAAGGCAGAACTCCTGAACTCTTCATCAGATGACAAGCGATGTAGACTGATGTGTGGTTTAGGTTGGGGTGAGATTGGCAGAAATTGATGGCCAGCAGAGCCTGGAAACAGAGGCAATAGCAAACCTTATACTTTTACATTAAGGGCGTCCAACCTTGGCGACTTTAAGACTTGTGGACGTCAACTCCCAGAATTCCCCAGTGTATAGCTGGCTGGGGAATTTTGGGAGTTGTAGTCCACAGGTCTTAAAGTTGCCAAGATTGGACACTCCGGTTCTATAGTATGGTTTTCTGCAAATTTCATGCCAGTATAGATCCAAGGATGGGTGGATAGCACTGTAACTACATTCTGGGGGAAAGGCAATAATCAAAGGAGCTCACACCCTGCTTAAAACCCCAGTCTTAATATAAGAATACCCCAACAATCAATGCTCATAATGGAGTTTATGAGCCATGACTATAATACAATGCAGAGTTACTATACTATACTATAACTCCACTGAACTCAGCAATGCTTACTACTAATTGCATACTTTCCTGTTATAAAGGCTTAGACAACAGATTTTCAGCCAGCAGAAATGTAGTTGCTACCTTTTCTAGATATGCAAATGTATAGATATTTACATATCCGTTTATACAAATGTACAGCTGTGCGAATTCTATACAGTGAATCCATGACTTAGGTTCATCATTGAGCCCAGAATTTCTGTTGCACAGAGACAGATGTCTTGTTAGGTGAATTTTGCCTCATTTTTCTCCCTTTCTTGCCCAATTTGTTAAGTGAATTTGGCTTCCCCATAGAAGGTCACAAAAGCTGATCACACGATTCCTGGACGCTGCAATTGTCATCAATACGAATCATTTGCCAAGGGTCCGAATTTTGATCATGTGGCCATGGGGATGCTGCAAACAGTCGTGTGAAAACGGTCATAAGTCATTCAGTGCCACTGTAACTTTGAATGGTCACTAAATGAAGTGTTGTAAGTCGAGGACTACCTGTGCTTGCAACTACAGCAGGGGTGTCCAACCTTGGCAACTTTAAGACTTGTGGACTTCAACTCCCAGAATTCCTCAGCCAGCTTTGCTGGCTGAGGAATTCTGGGAGTTGAAGTCCACAAGTCTTAAAGTTGCCAAGGTTGGACACCCCTGATCTAGAGCATCCAGAGCAAAGGTCTCCTTCTATACCTAAATATATATTTATGACATGATCTTCTGGATAGCTCTGGATAACACCACAAGGCATTCGGGGTGGGTTTGGAGCCTCTTCAACCAACCAGTGTTTTGCCTGACTCCCATATCTGTCTTTCTATCCAGCTTCTCAGTCTTAATTTACCATGGCTGGTAAAACTGGAACAGAACATCTCTTTAATGCAGCCACCGAAGTTGAGACAGCAGGAACGTTGTTGAGCAACAAGTAAGTTAATGAGAAGATAATTTTGCTTTTCCTAGCTGGATACCTTTAAAGGGTTGAATACAACTCCTATACTCCCCGGCCATCACAGCTAAGAGGCATGCTGGCTCAAGAGGAATTGTGAAGTCCTTGGTGCTGTTTGAGCTTGGTTGTTTTCCTGCAGACGTTTCATTACCTCACTAGGTAGTATCATCAATGCTGGAAGAGAATAGGATTTGTTTTCATTTTATATACTAGTGGCTTGCCCTGTCAGTGTTGGTGGGAATGGAGTGGATGGGCTGTTGTTTGTCTGGGTTGGTAGTTCCTTGTATTTTTCGATTGTTGGCCTGGTGTTAATCTTGGTGTTAATTTCTGCTCAACTGGGTGTTGATTGCTGGTGAGGAAATGTTTGGGTCTTTTTGTTTCCTTTTTGGTATTTTGATTGTCTCTTTTGAATGGTATATAAACATTGTTTGTTTCTATGTGCCTGTTGATGGCCGATTTGTCTGGGTGAAATTCCTTAAGAGGAATTGTAATTTAAAGACTCCGAGGACAATGGAATTGGAACACTGCTTTTTTTTAAAAAGCTGGGGAACTGACATGTCTTTGAAGATAATCATCCAGGTCATGGTTGTCCCAAAGCAGAGGTGGTATTCAGCAGGTTCTGACCAGTTCTGGAAAACCAGTAGCGGAAATTTTGAGTAATTTGGAGAACCGGTAAATTCCACCTCTGACTGGAGACTTTACAGCATCCTTCCCCTGCCACACCCACCAAGCCACGCCCACAGAACTGGTAGCAAAAAAAAAAAAAAAAAACCTGAATCCCACACTGTCCCAAAGGTGCTTTTTTTCATGTTTATTTGAAGACCATTCTTCTAATTCTTTCCTGGCCTTCTGACTTTATCTTTTCTAGGATCAACATCCCAGCACTCTTGCCCCAAGGCCCAGCTAAGGAATGGCTGGATCAGCGTCGGGCCACCATTCGTCCCTGGGCCAACTTCCTGGACCAGAGGCGTTTTGCAAAGCCTCTGAATTTTGGGGAACTGTGTAAACGCCTTGTCCGCAACGTGGAATATTTCCAGAGCAATTATGTCTTTGTCTTCCTAGGACTTATCGTCTATTGCCTGTGAGTAGATTTGATGGCTTCTTTTGTTTACTTGCGTGGGTGATGAATTCTCCCAACTCTTGTGTTGCAAATATCACTGAGGATGCCCAGGCCTTCACCTGTGCAGTGAAAGTTCCCAAAGGCCGGGAAAATCCCTTGAAAAATTCAACCGCCTTTGGCAGTCTGTACAAGCAAAACTCTGCCCCTTCAAAACATGCATTTCAAGAAGACGCTTCCAGCACCCAGTTGTGGGAAAGAATGAATGGGAAATGTGTTTGCCTAAGTTCCCTCCTGCAGTTTGTGCCTGTGTACTAAGCTGTATGTTACAGACACATACAGATCAACAGAAAAGTCCCACTCTGTGCCCAAGGGTATCTGGATGTAAAGGAATAAGGGTCAAACAGCAATGTGTGCGCATCATGAGCAAAAATGACAACTTACATTCTTGCATCAGACGCTGGGAGGCAAGGATATACAGTGGGTTTTGCATCGTGGCATTACCACGTGCATTTTGTCATCTTGATGTAACCTCAGTTTGCTGCAAATGCCTGACTCTTTTTGGTTCTTGGCAATGTCACTGATTCAGTGCTTGCTTTGGTAAAATTCTGTCTACAATATAGAGCAAGGAACAGTATTCTGAGTGGCCTATATCCAAACATGTTAGAGGGCATTCAGGGCCTAGTAGATAATTCCCCTTTTGTTCCCAGACATATACAATTTTAGCGTGTAGAGCTTTTAGAAAATAGCCTCCAAGGAAGACCTGTGAAGGGATTTATTACACTACTGGAATATACAAGTAGTGATTTAGGAAACTGGAGGTTAAAACATATAAAGAAGGATTGCTGGAACTGGGTATATCTAGTTTGATGAAAAGAAGGACTAGGGGTGACATGATGGCAGTGTTTCAATATCTCAGGGGCTGTCCCAAAGAAGAGGGAGTCAGGCTATTCTCCAAAGCACCTTAAAGGCAGGACAAGAAGCAACGGGTGGAAACTAATCAAGGAGAGAAGCAACCTTAGAACTAAGGAGAAATTTCCTGACCGTTAGAACAATTGATCAGTGGAACAACTTGCCTCCAGAAATTGTGAATGCTCCAACATGGAAGTTTTTAAGAAAAGATTGGATAACCCTTTGTCTGAAGTGGTGTAGGGTTTCCTGCCTAAGCAGGGGGTTGGACTAGAAGACCTCCAAGGTCCCTTCCAACTCTGTTATTCTATTCTACTCTAGTGTATATGTACAAAAGTCTTCCATTCTTAGTTGTAATGGGTTCAGCCAGGTTTTTATTAATTCAACTTTAATCCCATGGAATTAGCAAGAAAATTGCGTTAGTTTGCTCCTCCGCGTTGTTTCGTGATGCATTTAACCCCACTGGTCCTTTCCTTCCCACCTGTTAGCATCACCTCACCTTTACTTTTGATCGCGCTTGCTGTGTTCTTTGGGGCCTGTTACATCATGTACCTGAAGACCCAACAGTCCCAGCTCGTTGTGCTTGGTAAGTGGTTGTTCCCGTGGTGCTAGAGATTTATGCATGATACAGGTAGTCCTTGACATACAAACAGTTCATTTAGTGACCGTTCAAAGTTACAATGGCACCGAAAAAAATGACTTAGGACCATTTTTCACAGTTGCAATCTTTGCAGCATCCCCATGATTATGTGATCGAAATTCAGAGGCTTGGTAACGGGTCCATACTTAACGACCATTGCAACGTCTTTTGCAGCCTTCTGACCAAGCAAAGTCAATGGGGAAGCCAGATCCACTTAACAACCTTAGCTGCAGTGATTCACTTAACAGCTGTGGCAAGAAAGGTCATAAAATGGGGGAAAGCAAAACCCACTTAACAAATGTCTCAATAACAAATCTTGGGGTCAGCTGTGGCCGTGAGTCGAGGACTGCCTGTAATGATCTTTCGAGAATGTAAATTTCTATTATTTTCCCTTGTTTGATGTCTGTCCTTTTACAATTAAAAGAAAGGAACACCTATCTCCTTGCTCGTTGAAAGCTGGCACATCAAGGAAAGAGTTTACTTTACTTTATTGTCATTGCACCTCATACAACGAAATCAAACACCATCTTCAGTGCGCATCATGACCATGAAAATAAACACAAACACACATCCTTCACACTCCACACATTGAACCAAAAACCTCCCAACACTGCACTACATAGCAGAATTCAACAGAGCTCCTGCCCTGGGATAGAAGCTGTTTTTTTAGCCTATTTGTCCTTGTTTTTATTCTCCTGTATCGTCTGCCAGATGGTAATAGTTCAAAAAAAGGGTTCCCAGGATGAGATGGATCTTTGAGGATGTTTTGCACTTTCTTAAGGCAGCGGGAGCTATAAGGCTCTTCCAAAGAGGGGAGAGGGCAGCCAATGATCCTCTGGGCAATGACGTCAACCCTCTGGAGTGCTGTCCTGTCTGCCCCTGTGCAATTGGCAAACCAGACAGAGATGCAGTAAGTTAAAATGCTCTCTATGGTGGTAGAAGGTCACCAGCAGTTTTTCATTCAATTGTTGTTTCCTGAGAAGTCTCAGGTAGTCTAATCTCTGCTGGGCCCTTTTGACCAAGGCTGCAATGTGAGCCCCCAGGTCAGGTCCTCTTTTAGGGTAACAACCAGAAACTTAAAACTGGCCACTTGCTCCACTCTGTCTCCATTGATAAGCAAGGGCTGGATGTCTGATCTGTAAGGAAGGAAGCTGTAGCCTTGATATTGAGGCTTTCCACAGCTAGGAAATGTTTACTATGAAAAAAAAACATCTTTCACACACCCTCAGTGCCTTCTAAATTACAGGTAGGTGGTTATCTGGCCCAGGCACGAAGGCCAGAATACAGAATAAAACATGGTTCATTACAGACTAAAAAAGAGGCGTCAGTGTGAAAATGAGATAGTTATCAAAGAAATATCAAGATGGTAAACGAGGCCTCAACAATGTTTGCATGAAATAATCCTACGTTGCTCTTATCGATTAGCAACCCCCCCCCCCCAAAAAAAGAAAGTAAAATAGATCAACGTAGAACATTTCCACATGCTACCTTGGGTTGCAAGATGTAATAAGGATCGATTGGGTGCCATTGAGTCATTTTTGACTACTAGTGCAACTCTCATAAATGCATCTTCTTTTTGTGCCATATCTGTCACCGGATGTTGGCGATCCTATTTTTATCAACAGCCACACAAAAAAGTGCTGTTGAGTTTTTTGCAAAGCAGTCCCTTCGATTTTGAAGCCCTGAACTACTTCTTCTGCCTGGACCTCATTTGCCTTCCATCTTTTCCTGGAGGATTAAATGAAGGATGCCATATTTTTCCGGGTGTCTCATCCCATGTCCAAAATATTCTATTTTTTTTTCCTTTTTTATGGTTTTGTGATGGTTTCCCTTGGCTTTTCCAGGCGGCTGATCCCCTCCTCGTTTCTGATTTTGTCAAGCCAACTCCTACGTCACAGCTGCCTGCAAACCCACGCTTCCAGTCTCTTCAAGGGGTTTTCTGTCCAGAGACCAGCTCTTCGCTCTGTAGAGCAAGATTTAGCATCTGACAAGCCTGGTTTTTCAATCTTGCATGAAAATACATGCGGGTTGCCAAGCTTCCAGATTTTAATCACGTGACCTGCCAGAGGTCTTGACAATAAAAGGCCTTGAAAGCTACATTTCCAAGAAGGGCCACCAGATGGCGCTGCACAAATGAGAGCAGTGTCCATCATGCACCAATTCCCATGCTTTGCTAGACTCCAGCCTTCTCACATACTTCTAAAACCCCCAGAAAGCAGAAGTTTGACCTCAAAAGCCGGCCTCTCTTCAGTCAAGCATTCAAGGCCGCCACTTTTTCTCTCTCTCTTTTTAATAATTGAAAGCCAGCCTGCTTTCTAACTCAACCGTCTTTCCCTCTAGGGCGACAACTCAGCACAGCCCATCAATACAGTCTGGCCGGAGCTGTCTCTTTTCCTTTCTTCTGGCTGGCGGGCGCTGGCTCAGCTGTCTTTTGGGTGCTAGGTGAGTAAAAACAGGACAACTCCATTCCGGGTGGACTGCCGTCATCTGCCTGCGGGTTTTCATGCAGACGTTTCGTTCCCAAACTAGGTAACATCATCAGGAGTGGGGTTTGCAGAATGGAGGAGAAGGAGAAAGGGAGGAGGAAGAGGAGGAGGAGGAGGAGGAGGACAAAGACATCAGTAGAATTCTTGGTGCTCTCAGCTTGGTGGTTTTCTTGCAGATGTTTCATTCCCACACGAGGGAACATCAGTGCTAGAAGGGAGCGGGGTTTGCAGAATGAAGGAGGAGGAGGAGAAGGGGGGGGAGGAGGAGGAG